ATCAAGTACAGTTTGTTGATCAGTCACTGGAAGACTGGAGCTACTGAGCTACTGAGAGTGAAGCAAAGGATCTCGATAATTGTTCTGTTATAGTACGGGTAACTGATGGAGAAAAATACATGTAAGTTGTCAGCTGATAGTGTTTCCACCACAGTCAAGCATCTTGTAGTGTACCAGTTACATTTTTGTGAAAAAGGCATTGATTTTTTCTCACAAAAGTCCCATTGGAGGACATTTGGGTGTCAGGAAGACACTCGGTAAACTGGCAAAACATTTTATTTGGCCAAAAAATGAAGGAAACACTAGCTGATCATGTGCGACGTTGCCACGTGTGTCAAGTGAAGGCAAGCCAGCACACACGCCTCCACCTGCACCTCTCATTCCTATCACCGTGGATGGTTTAACCATTCTCACGTCTTATTATTGATTGTGTTGGGCCCTTTGCCTAGAACCAAACTAGGAAACCAATACTTATTTACTATTATGGACGCTGCAACACGCTATCCCGAAACTATTCCTATGAGAAAAATTAATGCTCGTGCTATTGTGAGAGCGCTGATGAAATTTTTTTCCCAGGTTGGATTGCAACGGAGATACAATCAGATCAGGGATCTAACTTCATTTCTAAGATCTTTCGAGAAGCATTTTCCCACCTAGGAATAAAGTCTGTACTTTCAACCAGTTATCATCCACAGTCACAAGGTGCCTCTTGAGAGATTTCATCAGACACTGAAGTCCATGATTTAGAGCTTATTGTGAACATTTTTTTTAGAGACTGGGGGTGACGGTATACCTTTTCTTCTGTTCGCTATGAGAGAAAGGAGCAAGAAAGTCTCGGGTTTAGTCCGTTTGAATTAATATTCGGACACCAAGTGCGTGGTCCTCTCGCAGTGTTGAAAGACGTGTGGAGAGGAAAATAAAAATCCATCATTTAATACTTCGCCTTCATTAATGCAGCAACATTTGACAGCCGCTAGAGAGCTAGCTTCGAAAAACCTAGTTTCAGCCCAAGCTAGAATGAAGAAACATTATGACAAGCGTGCTGTCTCTCGTTCTTTTAAAGCAGGAGATAAGGTGATGGCTCGGAAATTAGTACAGTCATGCTTTTCAAGCCAGGTATGTGGTTCCCCCGGAAGTAGTGGAAAAAGCTTTGCGACGTAAATTATTTGGTACGTACGCCTGGGAAAAAGAAATCTAATCATGTGTACCATGTTAACCAGCTTAAGACATACTACGCTAGTCCTCTACCTACTACATCTATTCTTCCTAGGACAGAGGAAGAAAACGTCAGTCTACCTGACATCTCTAGAGGTATAGAGGTGCATTTAGAAAATTCAGTGACTCTACAGTCTCTAGACGATTTTCTTAGTAACCTTGGGATTGATAAAGCTGGTGATATTAAAAACATGATTTTGCATTTCCCTGAATTGTTCAGTGATGTTCCTAAACGTTGTACTCAAGGAGTACATGACGTTGATGTACAGGGAGCATCACCCATTAAGCAATCACCATATAGGATGAGTCCAACAAAGCATAAAGCATTGAGAGAAGAGGTTGATTTTCTGTTATGTCACGGACTTATTGAACGCAGTAAAAATCCATGGGCATCTCCACGTATTTTAGTGCCTAAACCTGACGGTAGTTTCAGGATGTGCACTGATTACAGGAAAGTGAACTCTGTCACCTTGCCTGATGGTTATCCTCTACCTCGCATTGACGACCTTATTGACCGTGTGTCAGGAGCCCAGTTTGTCAGTCGTTTAGATCTCTTACGAGGCTATTATCAAGTCCCGCTTACTGAATGTGCTCAAGAAATATCTGCTTTTATTGTTCAAGATGGATTGTTTAACTACCTCGTCACCCCCTTCGGCCTATGTAACGCGGCTTCTTCATTCCAACGTATAATGAACGAGTTGACCCACAACTTAGAGGGAGTAGAAGCCTACCTTGACGACTTAGTGGTGTACAGTGACGAGTGGGAACAGCACTTGACGCGTCTCAGAGCATTGTTTGAGAGACTGGCGCACTACAACTTCACTGTTAACTTAGCTAAATGTAGTTTTGGTCAAGCCAAGATTACCTATCTAGGCTTTCAGAATCCAACCACGACAGCCCTTAGGCAACTGAACAATCTCAACCGACACTCACACACTGATCCCTCTGTCCCCACCCCCTACACCACAAGCCCCACCCCTACAGCAATCCCCCTACGAGAACTCTGCTCCCCCACCCCATCCCCACCACAACCCCCCCATAGGCCCCCACCAGGGCTCCCGCTCCCCCATCCCCAATCTTCTCCCTGGATCACAGTGTCAGAAAAGAAGTTGAAGGCTTGGTACATGAATGCGGATGGAATAATGAATAAATATGAGGAGTGGCATGAAAGAATCAATGAGAAGTCCCCAGACATCATAACAGTCACAGAAACGAGACTCACTGAGACAATAACAGATGCAATCTTCCCACCAGGATATCAGATCCTGAGGAAAGATAGAAAGAGCAGAGGGGGAGGAGGGGTTGCACTGCTCGTGAAAATCCGATGGAGATTTGAGGAAATGGAAGGCATGGACGAGAATGGAGGAGGGGATTACGTAGTAGGTACACTTCAGGCTGGGGAACATAAGGTAGTCATTGCAGTGATGTATAATCCACCACAGAACTGCAGGAGGCCAAGAGAGGAATATGAAGAGAGCAACAAAGCAATGGTGGACACACTGGCCGAGGTGGCAAGAAGAGCTCACTCGAGCAGAGCAAAGTTACTGGTTATGGGCGATTTCAACCACAGGGAGATCGACTGGGAAAACCTGGAGCCACAAGAGCGTCCTGAAACATGGAGATTAAAGATGATGGATGTGGTACTGGAAAACCTCATACATCAACATGTAAAGGACACTACCAGAGAGAGAGGGGAGGATGAACCAACAAGACTGGACCTTGTGTTCACCCTGAGCAATTCAGACACTGAGGACATCACATATGAGAGGCTCCATGGAGCTAGTGATCACATGGTTCTGTGTTTTGAATACATAATAGAGTTACAAGTGGAAAGGGTAACAGGAGTTGAATGGGAAAAGGCAAACTACGAAAGGGGGGACAACACAGGTATGAGGAACTTCCTGCAGGAGGTTCAGTGGGACAGAGAATTGGCAAGAAAGTCAGTAAATGAAATGAGGGAACACGTAACAACAAAATTCAAGGAGGCAGAGGAAAGGTTTGTTCCCAAGGGCAAGAGAAATAATGGGAAGACCAGATCAAGCCCCAGGTTTACCCGAAGGTGTAGGGAGGCAAAACCTAAGTGCGCCAGAGAACGGAAAAAGTACAGAAGCAAAGAAACATGAAAATAGGGAGATTAATCGAAGAGCCAGCAACGAGTATGCACAGATTAGGAGGGAGACCCAACGACAGTACGAAAACAACATAGCATTGAAAGTCAAGTATGACCCGAAACTGCTGTATAGCCACATTAGGAGGAAGACAACAGTCAAAGACCAGGTGATCAGGCTGAGGAAAGAAGGTGGGGAACTCACAAGTAATGATCAAGAGGTATGTGAGGAGCTCAACACGAGATTCAAGGAAGTATTCATAGAAGAGACAGGAAGGGTTCTGGGAAGACAGCACAGAGGGAAACACCAACGGGGAGTGTACCAACAAGTGTTGGATGATATACACACAACTGAGGAGGAGGTGCAGAAGCTGCTAAATGACCTTGACACCTCAAAGGCGATTAGACCGGACAACATCTCCCCGTGGGTCTTCAGAGAAGGAGCAGAGATGCTGTGTGTCCCACTAATCACAATCTTCAACACATCCCTTGAAGCTGGGCAACTACCTGAGGTATGGAACATGGCAAATGTAGTCCCCATTTTTAAGAAACGAGACAGAAACGAGGCACTAAACTACAGACCAGTGTCACTGACGTGTATAGTATGCAAAGACATGGAGAAAATTATCAGGAGGAAAGTGGTGGAGCACCTGGAACAGAACAAGATAATAAACGGCAACTAGCACGGATCCATGGAAGGCAAATCCTGTGTCACAAACCTTCTGGAGTATTATGACAAAGTAACAGAAGTAAGACACGAGAGAGAGGGATGGATTGACTGCATTTTCCTGGACTGCAGGAAGGCCTTCAACACAATTCCTCACAAGAGATTAGTGCAGAAGCTAGAGGATCAGGCACGTATAACAGGAAGGGCACTGGAATGGATCAGAGAATGACTGACAGGGAGGCAACAACGAACCATGGTACGTGATGGGATATCACAGTGAGCGCCTGTGACCAAAAGGGTCAGTCCTGGGACCAGTGCTATTTTTGGTATATGTGAATGACATGATGGAAGGGATAGACTCTGAAGTGTCCCTGCCGTCTCCTTGTCGACGTGCCGTTTGTGTTGAAACAAACTCAGTGAGACTATGGCAACATGCTGCCGTCTTCCTCTCACCGTGCCGTTTGTCTTTAAACACACTCAGTGGGACTATTTTAACATGCTCTCTGAAGTTAATGAGGAAAATTAAATCAGATGAGGATCAGGCAGGACTGCAAAGAGACCTGGACAGGCTGGACACCTGATCCAGCAACTGGCTTCTCGAATTCAACCCCGCCAAATGCAAAGTCATGAAGACTGGGGAAGGGCAAAGAAGACCGCAGAGAGAGTATAGGCTAGGCAGACAAAGACTGCAAACCTCACTCAAGGAGACATATATATATATATATATATATATATATATATATATATATATATATATATATATATATATATATATATATATATATATATATATATATATATACACATCCTTGAAATTAGCAGTATATCTCCACAGAAGCTTAATATCGTCTGGTTAACACTAAGAATTCTACAAAGATATTAAATAACAATGGGTACTGTCTACTTGGAAAAGTATATTTGGAGATTTATAAAAAGTCTATTTCTTTTCTAGGATGTTTGAGCATCTTAAATTATTAAATTATTAATAGAAAACATATTAACTTTTTTCAGATTTTGCAAACACTACTGACCATCCTGCATGAACTGCTGACCATCCTGCATGTACTGCTGACCATCCTGCATGTACTGCTGACCATCCTGCATGTACTGCTGACCATCCTGCATGTACTGCTGACCATCCTGCATGTACTGCTGACCATCCTGCATGTACTGCTGACCATCCTGCATGTACTGCTGACCATCCTGCAAACTACTGAGGGCCCTGTAAACTACCAAGAGTCCTGTAAACTACCAAGAGTCCTGTGAACTACAAAGAGTCCTGAAAACTACCAAGAGTCCTGTAAACTACCAAGAGTCCTGTAAACTACCGGGGGTCTTGTTAACTACTGAGGATCCTGTGAATTGCCTAAGGTCCTATAAACTACCGAAGCTCCTGTAAACTACCGAAGGTATTGTAAACTACCGAGTGTCGAGTAAGCTACCGAGGGTCCTATAAATTACCTAGGGTCCTGTAAACTGCCAAAGGCTAAGTAAACTGCCGAAGGTCCTGTAAACTACCGAGGGTCCTGTGAATTACCGAAGGTCCTATAAACTACCGAAGGTCCCGTTAACTACCGAAGATCCTTCGAACTACCGACGGCCCTCTAAATTACCGACAGTCTGCAAAGTAATGAGGGGGGGGTCCTGCAAACTACAGACTTTAAACTACCGACAGCCTTCAAACTACAGAGGATCCAACATATTTAAGCAACGGTTTTGGAACACTGTAAAAGATGAAGTATATTTCATCAAAAGCAGTATACTTGCTGGCTAGCATATTAAGTATCTCATTTTTGCTATCTTTTGTACTGAATTCGATTTCCGGGAGCAGATGGAAAAGCAGAGAGTTCTTCCACTCAGATAGTCCCGGTATGTAGCCTCATTACAAGGAAATTTCTTTAACATTAGGAACACTTAAAGTGCTAATTGTTTCACGAGTAGTTACCATATTCGAGCTTGCAATACAGAACGGAAAGTATGAAAGATATAGGGAGGAACTCACAATAAGACGCGTGATTATAAATATGAAAAAATGCCACAGTGAAAATAGCAACTAAAACCTGAGTGCTTTCATGTGCTCACACACATATCTGAAGATATATATGTGAGCACATGGAGCCTCTCAACGTTTATTTCCTATTTTTACTGTGATACTTTTCATATATATATATATATATATATATATATATATTATATATATATATATATATATATATACTAATATATATATATATATATATATATATATATATATATATATATAAAATATATATATATGCATGAAAAAGTATCACAGTTTTTAAAACTGTTTCATTTTGTGAATTGTTTTGTTTATGAAAGTAATGAAAGTGTCTTTAGGTGTATATACTTGTGGCCAGAGATGATCTCTGGGCGGTCTTTCAGCTATTGACTATTAATTATATTTTCTTAGAATTCATGTAGTCTCTGCCTTTCCTTGCCGGATGCCAGAATTTGAGGACGAGTACTTCCTACCACTGATGGCTGCCTTCCGCTCTGCTGTCAACTTGTCTTCCCCACCCACACCTAGGTTAAGGTGAGAAACACACACCACACACACACACACACACACACACACACACACACACACACACACACGCACACACACACACGCAACACACACACACACACACACACACACACACACACACACACACCACACACACACACGCACACACACACACACACACACACACACACACACACACACACACACACACACACACACACACACACACATACACACACACACACACACACACACCACACATACATAGACACACATACACACACACAAAGTCGTGGAGAAGATTATCAGGAGAGTGGAGGATCACCTGGAACGGAATAAGATTATAACCGATAACCAGCATGGATTCATGGAAGACAAATCCTGTGTCACAAACCTTCTGGAGTTCTATGACAAAGTTACAGAAGTGCGACACGAGAGAGAGGGGTGGGTTGATTGCATTTTCTTGGACTGCAAGAAGGCTTTCGACACAGTTCCTCACAAGAGACTAGTGCAGAAACTAGAGGATCAGGCGCGTACAACAGGAAGGGCACTGCAATGGATCAGAGAATACCTGACGGACAGGCAACAACGAACCATGGTAAGTGATGAGGTATCACAGTGGGCACCTGTGATGAGCAGGGTCCCACAGGAGTCGGTCCTAGGACCAGTGCTATTTCTGGTATATGTGAATGACATGATGGAAGGGATAGACTCTAAAGTGTCCCTGTTCGCAGATGATGTGAAGTTAATGAGAATTAAATCAGATGAGGACCAGGCAGGACTTCAAAGAGACCAGGACAGGCTGAACACGTGGTCCAGCAACCGGCTTCTTGAATTCAACCCTGCCTAGTGCAAAGTCATGAAGATCGGAGAAGGGCAAGGAAGACTGCAGACAGAGTATAGACTAGGTGGCCAAAGACTGTAAACCTCGCTTAAGGAGAAAGATCTTGGGGTGACCATAACACGGAGTAAGTCTCCGGAGGCACACATTAACCAGATAACTGCTGCAGCATACGGGCGCCTGGCAAACCTGAGAATAGCGTTCCGATACCTTAGTAAGGAATCGATCAAGACATTGTACACTGTGTACATCAGGCTTATACTGGAGTATGCAGCTCCAGTTTGGAACCCACACCTGGGCAAACACGTCAAGAAATTAGAGAAAGTGCAAAGGTTTGCAACAAGGCTAGTTCCGGAGCTCAGGGGTGTGTCCTACGAAGAAAGGTTGAGGGAAATCGGACTGACGACATTGGAGGACAGGCGGGTCAGGGGAGACATGATACCGACATACAAAATACTGCGTGGAATAGATAAGGTAGACAGAGACAGGTTGTTCCAGAGAGAGGACACAGAAACAAGGGGTCACAATTGGAAGCTGAAGACTCAGACGAGTCATAGGGATGTTATGAAGTATTTCATCAGTCATAAAGTCGTCAGGAAGTGGAATAGCCTAACAAGTGATGTAGTGGAGGCAGGAACCATACATAGCTTTAAGACGAGGTATGACAAAGCTCTGGAAGCAGAGAGAGGACCTAGTAGCGATCAGTAAAGAGGCGGGGCCAGGAGCTGTGTCTCGACCCCTGGAACCACAATTAGGTGAGTACACACAGTGGTACCTCGGTATACGTCAGCTTTACCAAGTCCAACTTGGTATAGATCCTGTTTGCACGCGAAAATTTTTGCTTGGTATACGACCTTTGTTTGAAATACGACTCGCCTAACAGGACCTATATTACACAAGAGGAGAAGGCATTACCAAGACAATGAAGGATAGGTTAACTCTCTTGTTCTGTGCCAGTACAAGTGGGGATTGCAAACTGAAGCCTCTACTGATCTACCACTTTGAAAAGCCGAGGGCCTTTAAAAAACATAACATGCAGAAAATTCAGTTACCTGTGATGGGGAGGTCAAACAGCAAGAGAGAATATTTGTTTGGGCCATGTGCAAAAAGTTATTTAGAGGAGAAAAACGCATATGTATAATATATATATATATATATATATATATATATATATATATGTGTGTGTGTGTGTGTGTGTGGTGTGTGTGTGTGTGTGTGTGTGTGTGTGTGTGTGTGTGTGTGTGTACTCACCTAATTGTGGTTGCAGGGGTCGGGACTCAGCTCCTGGCCCCGCCTCTTCACTGATCGCTACTGGGTCCTCCCTATCACTGCTCCATGAGCTTTATCATACCTCGTCTTAAAACTATGTATAGTTCCTTCCTCCACTACATCGCTTGCCAGACTATTCTACTTCCTAACAACTCTGTGACTGAAGAAATACTTCCTAACATCCCTTTGACTCATCTGAGTCTTCACCTTCCAATTGTGACCCCTTGTTTCTGTGTCTCATCTCTGGAACATCCTGTCTCTATCCACCTTGTCTATTCCACGCAGTATTTTGTATGTCGTTATCGTGTCTCCCCTGACTCTCCTGTCCTCCAGTGTCTTCAGACCGATTTCCCTTAACCTTTCTTCATAGGACATTCCCCTTAGCTCTGGAACTAGCTTTGTTGCGAACCTTTGCACTTTCTCTAATTTTTTGACGTGTTTGACCAGGTGTGGGTTCCAAACTGGTGCTGCGTACTCCAGTTTGCGCCTGACGTACACAGTATATAAATTCTTGAACGATTCCTTACAGAGGTACCGGAACTCTATTCTCAGGTTTGCCAAGCGAACATATGCCGAAGTAGTTCTCTGGTTAATGTGTGCTTCTAGCGATGTACTCGGTATTATACTCACTCTTAGGTCTTTTCCCTTGAGTGAGGTTTGCAGCCTTTGGCTTCCTAGCCTATACTCTGTCTGCGGTCTTTTTTGCCCTTTTCCGATCTTCATGACTTTGCATTTGGCGGGGTTAAATTCTAGGAGCCAGTTGCTGGACCACGCATCCAGCCTGTCCAGGTCTCTTCGTAGACCTGTTTGGTCCGCGTCTGATTTAATTCTCCTCATTAGCTTCACATCATCTGCAAACAGGGACACTTCTGAGCCTATCCCTTCCGTCACGTCGTTCACATATACCAAGAATAGCACTGGTCCCAGGGCTGACCCCTGTGGGACCCCGCTCGTCACCGGGGCCCACTGTGATACCTAATCATGGACCACGACTCGTTGTTGCCTCCCTGTTAGGTATTCTCTGATCCATTGCAGTGCCCTTCCTGTTATTTGTGCCTGTTCCTCTAGCTTCTGTACTAAATTCTTGCGAGGAACTGTATCGAAGGCCTTCTTGCAGTCCAAGAAAATGCAATCAACCCACCCCTCTCTCTCATTCTTTACTTCTGTTACCTTGTCATAAACTCTAGTAGGTTTGTGACACAGGATTTGCCTTCCATGAATCCGTGCTTGCTGTCGTTTATAATCCTGTTCCGCTCCAGGTGCTCCACCACTCTCCTCCTGATAATCTTCTCCATGACTTTGCATACTATACATGTCAGTGACACTTGTCTATAATTTAGTGCTTCATTTCTGTCTCCTTTCTTAAAGATGGGGCTACATTTGCCTTTTTCCATACTTCAGGTAGTTGCACAGTTTCAAGGGAAATGTTGAAGATTTTGGTTAGTGGCACACGTAATGTCTCTGCTCCCTCTCTAAGGACCCACAGAGAGATGTTTTCCAGTTCCACCCCCTTTGAGGTATCAAGGTCACTTATGAGCTTCTCCACCTCCTCCTCAGTTGTGTGTAATTCATCCAACACTTGTTGGTATATCCCTTGTTGATGTACCCCACTGTTTTCTCTTCCCAGTGTCCCTTCAGCTTCCACTGTAAATACTTCCTGAAATCTCATGTTGAGCTCCTCACATACTTCTTGGTCGTTTCTTGTGAGCTCCCCACCTTCTTTCCTCAGCCTGATTACCTGGTCCTTGACTGTTGTCTTCCTTCTGATGTGGCTGTAAAGTAGTTTCGGGTCAAACTTGACTTTCGATGCTATGTCATTTTCATTCTGCCGCTGAGCCTCCCTCCTCATCTGCGCATACTCGTTTCTGGCTCGTTAACTAATCTCTTTATTTTCCTGAGTCCTTTGCCTTCTGTACTTTTTCCATTCTCTAGAGCACTTAATTTTTGCCTCCCTACACCATCGGGTAAACGAAGGGCTCGTTCTGTCCTTCTCATTATTTCTGTTACCCTTGGGAACAAACCTGTCCTCTGCCTCCTTGCATTTTGTTGTTACAAAATCCATCATTTCGTTTACTGATTTTCCTACCAACTCCTGTTCCCATTGAACCTCCTGCAGGAAGGTCCTCATTCCTGTGTAGTCCTCCCTTTCATAGTTTGGCTTTTCCCTTTCTACTCCTGTTACCCTCTCCACTTTTAGCTCCACGATGTATTCAAAGCTCATAACCACGTGGTCACTAGATCCAAGGGGCCTTTCATATATGATGTGCTCAATATCTGAGCTGCTCAGGGTGAACACAAGGTCCAGTCTTGCTGGTTCATCTTCCCCTCTCTCTCTGGTAGTGTCCCTAACATGTTGGTGCATGAGATTTGCCAGCACCACATCCATCATCTTGGCTCTTCATGTTTTGCAGTCCCCATGTGGCTCCAGGTTTTCCCAATCAATCTCCCTGTGATTGACGTCACCCATGACCAATAACTTCACTCTGCTCGAGTGAGCCCTTCTTGCCACCTCAGCTAGTGTGTCCACTATTGCTCTGTTGTGCTCATCATATTTCTTTCTTGGCCTCCTGCAGTTCTGTGGTGGGTTATACATCACTGCAATGACTACCTTGTGTTCCCCTGACTGAACTGTACCTACTATGTAATTCCTTTCCCCAATCTCGTCCATTCCTTCCATTTCTTGATAACCCCATCGGTTTTTAATTAGTAGTGCAACCCCTCCCCCCCCCTGCTCCTTCTATCCTTCCTCAGGATCTGATATCTGGGTGTAAAGATTGCATCTGTTATTACCCCAGTGAGTTTTGTTTCTGTAACTGCTAAGATGTCTGGGGACATCTTGATTCTTTCGTGCCACTCCTCACATTTATTCATTATTCCATCTGCGTTTGTGTACCAAACCTTCAACTTTTTTTCAATA